ATATACACAAGCAAACAAATGCAACAACAATTTCAAGGAACAAGCAACAGTGTTGCCACTTGTTTGGCATATTTAAAAAAAAGGTTGATCCGAAACCCAACGAAAGTTAAATGGCATTTGAATAACAATCCCAAATTAAACTTAATTAAATTAAACTTAAGTGCAGTTTAAATATTTATTTGAAATTGGCCCTTATTTTTACGAACATGCAAATCGGCATCAGTTAATTTTTGAATAAAAGACTACTCTATAAATGTGGCCACCAGTTTATTTCTACAAGGAAATTTACAGCAAAAGCAGAGTACTTTTTCAACCAACAGAAATAACGAAAAATATTTCTCTTGATTTTTAGTAGAGAGCTGCAAACAGCCCTTAATTCCAAAATTTTAGTGAAATTTTAAAAAATTTGCCTGCATCACTAAAATACTCTAGCCGCTAGCGGCACCCCTGGCATACGCTCGCGGCACCACAGGGTTCCGCGGTACCCACTTAGGGAAGACTGGCTCTATACAGTAGGAGCCTTTTTAATCCTCCAGTTATTAAAATCAAATATTTTGAAGCACTGAACGATTTGAAATTAGACATGCAGGTTCTCAATTTAGAGAGAGCTTTGTATTTTCATTTCTGTATGTGCGATTTTCAGTTACTATTTCGTTTGTTCTTATTGTTGTGATTTTGTTAGCAACGCTGCATAACTTGCTGTCTCCACAGGCAAAGGTTTTTATCTTGATAATGTTATCAGGCAAAATTTTGCCAATAAAATCCACATATTGCTCTTGGCAAGCAATAATTATTAGAGCTTTTATCTTGATAAATATTCCCTGCAATTTGCTACTTTGACAGCTACATTTTCATTGGCGCGATAATTTCTTGGGGCAGCATTATTGATATTTTGATATAAAAGCAAGAATGTATTTCTTTTCTATTGAAATGTTTGTTATTATGTACTTAGACGTGAAATAGCTTATTTTATACATTTTTTTAAACGATTAAATTCGACAACAATATCCATCTTACAAATGCTTTTATTAAGATAAAAATTGCCTCTGATAAAATTTATATCAGGCGATAAAAACGACAGTTTGTAGGCAAAAACTTTTGTCGTAAAGTGGAAATGGCTTGTGAAAAATTTCATCTAAACGTAACAGACGATTTTAGAGTTGGTAAGTCTGCAATCAGCTGCATAAAGCCCAATACTTATGATGTAGCGAAAGTAGAAGGTTTACATTCTGCGAATATGGTAATATCACCACTTAAGTAAATAAAAAAAAACACAACAGATACATCAAAAATATTTTTTTTTTTTTTATAATTTCAAGTTTTTAATTGGACTCCTTAGAAAGCTATAGCTATAGCTAGGACTTACCGGTGATTTTTGGCATTTTTCTGTAAAGTTGTAACATTTCTATAAAAAATAATAATAAAAAGTAAATAACAAAAAAAAATTTATTGGTACAACTTTACCATACGAGGTAAGTTTATAATTTTGACACAGGTTGTACATATTATTACTACATCCAAAAATTTTCTAATTTTGCATACTGAATGTGAAAATAATTCAAAGCACGGTATTTTTAACCCTTTCAGAACAAGAAATCAATCGTTAAAGCTCAAAATCTTAAAATGTTTAAACTGGCTACTTTGGGTCGTTGGTTAAAAAAAAATTATAATAAAATTTATAAAGCTCTTAGTTTTACCGTTATCCGGGGTCCATTATGTCGAGCAATGCTACCGTACAGGTTTAAACAAGAACTGCTCCAAATTCGTTTAATTTTTTTCTTTCATGTATTTTAATTAAAAACAACTAATAAAACTTTAAATTAAATTTTTTTCGGATCTCTATTCAACCGAAAGAAAATAAAAGTTTTGACACTTTTCACTTTTGTGAATTTCAGAAAATTCCATTAATTAAGGCGGTAAAGAAGAATGACTTAAATAAAGTGCTGAAGTCAACTGTTCTCTTAACATTAAAAGCACATACTTGCGACAAAAAGAGCTTTAAGCACAAACAAGTTGTCTCCAATATTTTGGACGCTGGTAATGAAAGGGTTAAGTACTGTATTTTTATGCGCCAGCTGTAGCTGAGTAGTTAGAGTTTCTCAATACCTACCGCACTGTGGACCTAAGTTCGATCTCTGCTCCGAGCAACATTTATGTAAATTACAACAATTTCTTTCAATGCAAACCTCCGAGTATATTTTTGCCATGAAAAACCTTCTGATGAAATCCATTTACCATTCAGAGGTAGCGTAAAACTGTAGGTCCCTCCATTTATGTACTAAAAATTGGAACAGGGACCGGCCAAACACTTGGCAAAGTGTAAGTATTTGAATTTTTTATTTAAATTATTTTCTTTTAAAGATTTTTTATTTGTATCTTAAATACTTTTTTAAGCAGTATTTGTATTTTTTGATTTAAAATACTTTATCTTTTCTTCATCGTTCGTCATATCATAAAGTTCTTCCTAACAACACTTGTCATTTAATTATTTGACACGTGCGCATTTCGTATCACCAAAGCCCAAAATTGTCGCCTGTTTCAAATATGCCCATTCTCCGCTCTCCACATTTTCATTACTTTTTATCTGCACTGAGAAGTGAAAAATGGACCTTCACAATGCGCAATTTCGCATACATATGTATATATTATTTATTCATAATGGTCAACTGAAATACAAAAAAGCCGTAACTAACAAACTTTTTTTTTGCATTACACAATGTGTGGGGTGGAAACTTGTTATTTGATGAAATGCATGAAAATCAATCAACAACTGAAATTTTAAAAATTTTTTGTTAGTTATGGCCTTTTGCATTGCAGGTGACGATAAGCAGTTGTGATTGCAAAAGTATGTATTTCTATTTGCAAAATACGTATTTCATATCTAGATGTCATGAATTCAAAGAAGTTCATAACGTAGAAGTTTATAAACGTATGTATGTACATATATTGCGATACGCAGAATTCTTTTCAACAATATGGAATGCTAATGGGCTTGGTTACGACGTGATAGCTCATCTCAAGCGGCTTTAAAATCATAACTTTATCAGATGGAGGTTATTGTGGTCTTATTGTGGTGGAACTAGAAGGGTGTGGTGTTCCCAATCCTTTACCAAGGAACCACACAATCAATTGGGATGAGTACTGTTGGAAACAGGAGAATTTCAATCAATTTGTCATCTACAAACTTTTGAAATGTATCGAACTTAGCCTTTAAATAGGCGCCTAAAGAAAATCACCCAATTATACGCAAATGATGCCAAGTCACTCTCAAAATAAGTATTGAAAACGAGTGGTATATAAAATATTGAAATTCATTATTTTCATTAACTTACAAAAAAAAAATAAATAACTTTGATTTGAAACTTATTTAGATTAAAACACAAAAACTTACTTCCGCCAAAAATGTCACGCTAGTGGTCGCATAGGGTCACCACTCTTTGCATGGAAGAACGATGGATCGGTGTCTTGTTCAGCTTTTGCCAATAAAGATAGGTCCTTCTGCTTTTGCTTGACAATTTTTTGTGTTTTTTTTTCATTTTACTTTTCTTTGTTAAACTACTCTTATTTATTTTTTTTCTATTCAAACTTGTTAAATTATTCTGCTTCCTTTTTCATTTGCTTGTGAAAAGTTGTTAGCCTGTGTATGTCCACGTCAATGTGTTTTTGCACTTTGGCTTTTGCGCTTTAGCCTTTGGTTTACTCTTTTTTTCAACAAAAGTGCTCGTGACAACTCAAAATGTAGCAAATAACACAAAAGAATAATGTCGGTTAATCGAATGTGATAAAAGAAAATTTTAATCGAAAGTTTTACTTTTCCATGCTGATGATGTAGCTTTGAACACAAGAGCAGGTGTTTATAGATAAAATGTGACAGTTTTAATGTCAGAAAAATGCGAATAATGTTGTAATTGAAATGATAGTAAGATTTTTTGCTCTTCTTATGCAAATAATGCACAAAGAACTGGGGGTCTACCTGTATTGCGATTCGACAAGCAACTCATTCGGGTTCGAATACTTGGCGATATGAGTTTGTATTAGTGTGTGTCGACTTTCGAATAGCAATACAAAGTAGACCTCCTACGTAGCGTCGAGAATCCCAGTGCGAAAATGGGAATACATTACCTCTTTCTACCAAGAAAATATTAACAACTACAAGTGAGGGAATGATATGTAGTTTTGAAGCGACAAACAAAACAAAAAGTTTGAAAACTAACTCAAGTAGGTTTTTTTCACGTTATCTCAACAGCTGCTGTAGCTGAATGGATGCGTGTTCGACTGCCGTGTTGTTCGTCGCGGTTTCAAAACCTGTAGCACGCGCTTAATTTTTTATTTTTACTTTGTAAATCGACATGCGACACATTACTTTCGCATGACACCGCTGTGCAAAAATTGTGCATCTTTTTGTGCGTAGATTATAGGAGCTATCCATTAGTTTTTGCATATCCAAACACTACCTTTTCCCACTGGGATATTTTTGTAAATATTACAGCAAGTGAAAGTAAAGTGAACACAGAAAATGTTTTCCAAAGTCATCAATTACTTTTCATACATGCTGACATATATTTTTTTTTCTTTGTGCACCATTAATTCATGTAAATTTATGTGTGAACATATCTGTGTACATTGTAGATGCATTAAAGCTTAATATTTACGCCAGGTTAGGTTAGAGTGGCTGCAACCACGCAGAGCACGGAGGCACGGGGGAAGCCATTTGTTGCACCCCAGAAATGTCCCTATGTTTCGCCAACTGTCGTGCAACTGTCAAGGAGCATTTTGGTGCCAGCAGGTTCAGAATTCTCCTACATTCTTTGGTTACTTTACTATAAGAGGCTTTATCTCCACGGATTTGTACTTGAAATATGTATGCTGGCCATTCTTTATATTCCGACAAATATATTCATAATGACCGAATCCTGTTTGGACCGTGCAGACCCTCTCGGCGCTGTCAACAACGGTTCCCGAGATGGTAGATATTTTACACTTTTATTCGCCATCTCCAGCAACGGCACTACCCGTGCAGGGTGCCAAGGCTTCTGTAATTTTTTTCATAACATCATCTGGCTTTTTGACCACTTACTTTCATTGGCCGAAAAATAAGGAAGGGGGAAAGACCAGTCAATCCTGGCAGAGCCCCATTTCGTAGCAAGTTCACCGTTACTGCCGGAGATGGATAGGTGTCCGGAAGGCGCCGTTAGAATACAGTAGACAGCTCCCTGACTAAATACAAACAATCCATGGGTACGGTGAAACGCATCACACCCTGGATTAAGGGAGAAGGTAGAATAGACACCGTACGGGTCTAGATCCGTAATGTTCAGTGGAAATAGGGTCACCAGTTATACGATGCGGAGGACAGAATCACCTATGTGGTGTGTTACGCTTCATCCACGCCCTGCATTTGTGTCAGCTTGTGGAGCTGAAATCGTTTAAAAATCCTATGCCCAAAAATGTTTTTCGTCTTCTATATAGTACAGATCATTCGCACAGTAAGTGCCTGGCAATATCGAGTGCTTCTGCATCAATCATATTCTGCGAAAGTCATTGTGCGGTTCTCCTAATCGCTCTCCTTTCCAAGAGATAAACTCTTGTGATTTTCTCATGTCCCACCCAGGCAACATGAGTTTGGCTGTGTTACATGTAGCTAAGTGTCCCACCTTGTACGTGCGGCTTTAAGGACGAACTTCTTAATTCTTGTCTGGCAGAAAGTAGCGGAGTACTTAACCTTTCGTGCAAACTCGTCTTTTCTCCTTTTCTGGCATATTACAAAGTCCTGGTACCCATACCAGTTGCAAGACGAACTACTCTGCCACTAATTATAAATGAAACAGTATGTATGCAGCAACTCAAATTCAATCCAATTTACGTGTTTTTTTTAGTAAATTTTATTTCCCTTAATGGATTATGGAAGCGTTCCAGAAATGACTTATCGGCTATTTCGGATGTAATAAAATTAAAAGAAAAATACATTTAAATAAACCGAATACATGTGTCGCTGAATGTTAATTATGTGATTCCGAAAATGAGATAAAATTGTAAGTTGACTGCAATATTGGACAAAAAGCAATTTTTAACTAAAATTCTCGCATGTGTAAACTCCGTTTACTGCAAACGGAAGACCAAATGTTGACAGCATTTCCGGTAGAAAATCGAAAAAATTTTTTATACATGCATGAAAATCTCGTACATTTATTCAAGCGCGTATGCGCATTTCAAAGAGGATAATGCATGAGTTAACGCAAATAAAGGCTGTTCATGTAGATAAGCCGGCCCGTTTGTCACCCGTATACGAGGTCTTGCACACTTATACGTACATATTCAAAGTATAAAATCACATAAATTACTAGCTAAAAAGTTTCCAAACAAAATTTTATTTATTAATTTTGAACTTGCTAAACCGATAAGTGTATTTTAGCGCCTATTCGGCAACATTGGCATTGGCACCAGTGCGTATGAGTAACTCACTGAGTGGTTCACCCTTAGCAACATATGTTTGTATGTATGTAGGTATGCAGCAAAGCTGCTCCACGTTACATTATTGCGCACACTTATGCACATATTCACATACATACACATAAGTATTTTTATACTTAAACTTTTTTTGCATTTCCCCCTCCTTTGCACTTATAAATTTTCAGTTTACCAACCATTTCACAGAAAATTGCCTCCGGTTGAGTGGTAATAAAAACTTCAATTCATTGTTGTACATTTTTTTACGTTCCGGCAGATTTCGTTGTTGCTAGTGTAGTAAGCATTTTATTTTTGCCGCGGAATTTTTTATTGTTATTTAAATCGCTTATTTGTGTGACCTTTTACATAGCTACAACTTGATTTTGGTTTGTGCATGGTTAGTGGAGAAAGTTAAAATGTGAAACGATGAAATGGCAGCACATACATACATATATGGTAATATTATATAATAAATCATAATGGAAATTATATCGAGCGCATATTGAATATGAATCAAATTGCAATTAAATTATTTTGCATAATAAACTTCTCTCGTCTTTGTTCCGCCCGCTTTTAAGTTTTCATGCGGATTTTTAAACTTTTGCCTTCGAAAACCTTTCTTAATTTTGTAGAGAAATATGTTTTCATATTTTAAAGCTTATTGCAACATATCTACAAATCAGCTAGGACACCATAAAAAAGTTGTAAAGAAAATACATTTGTCAGCACTTTTGGGAAATTTTCGCATTATTTAATTTGTGGCAGATAGCATATAGGGAAATATGCTTAGTTGCCTGTCGTATTGCGTATAAAAATAAAATAAATTTATAAAAAGTTAGCTTGATAGTTACTCTATAATGAGGTCATCTATTGGTTTAAGATGCAGCCAGTGGAATGTATGCACATATGTGTGCAGTTCTTATTTGCATTAATATAACTATGTTTCATTTAATTATAATAGGAATCAATTTAATCATTCATTAGAGGTATTTAACTTCATTGCAAAATTAAATTCGAAATTTCAATTTAATCAAGTAAAGAGGCCACAAAGAAATTTACGTGCTTATGTTCATACATATGTACATGTGTATGTATTTATTTACTTATATGTAGTTAAAAGAATTGCATTAAATTAAGTCATGCGATTAATTAATCAGACTGAGGTGCGTTTACGTTCGAGGTGTGGCATACCTTTAGGCTATACAGTAAACGAAATGTCACCATGCAAACTTCACATTTCGCTTTGGCTCTGTTAAATTTTATACGTTGGCAAGTGTTCTAATTTTGGCAGCGCGAAAATTGAAGTGGGTTACTCGCCGTTAGACGGTGTGGTGTTTCAGTTATTAAACATCTACATCAACCGATAGACCGTTTTTAGTTCCAGTTGACAATGTTTTTTTTTCACTTATTTGGCGATACAGTGAAACCCGCTTAAGTACCTAACACGCGTAAGTAACCCACATTTTTGGGGCACCGTAAATTTTTGAATGTAATCTGAAGAAAATCCCTCTCTTAGGTACGTACCCACTTATTTACCCAACCCGCCTAAGTACCTCAATTTTTCGTACCCCATTTACCATTTTACCCATAATTTTCCCCTTTTAAGTGCTCTTTTAAAAATCTTTAAAATATTTACATATTTTGAAATTCAGTGGCAGCGCTACACACCGGAAAAAAAAATTCAAAAAAATCAACCGTAATTTTTAGCCACTTGAAACTTGCACATTATGACATTAAAATTGAATGGGCTATAAAACTGTATACCCAATAAACACTTCAGAGAAAAAAATTTGAATTTTTAGTGTATTTTTTTTCTTTAAGTGTTCTACAAAATATGAAGCTTAGAGTTATATGGTATTTGTTAAGAAAAATCTTAATTGACAAATTTTAAAAATTAATAAATAAATATAAGTGGCTAACAATATCATTTTGAATTTGGAGGTACTTAAGCGGGTTCTTTTAAGTACCCAACCCGCCTAAGTATCTCAAAAAGCTGACATTTTTCGTGAGGTACTTAAGCGGGTTTTACTGTAAATGCCACGGAATTTGACACAGTAAAAGCAAAGCTTCAAAGCTTGTTACCAAAAGTACTTCGGAGCAGGGGCATTTTCGATTAGAACACTGACCAAAATGGCCAGCTGTTGTCTACTGTAAAGCAAGCAATTCCCAAATAGTACTTTTTGTTATTAAAGTATTTTATTTCACGCCTTAACTCAATAAATGATTAAAAAACGCCCCATTTTATAATTTGGTTTAAGAACACCCTATCTGAATATAAATTTAATAAGAATATCTGCAGCTGAGACAGGACCTTTTAAACTAAATTTTTAAACGTAGCACTTTTCAACCATTCACTGGGATAGAGCGTTCTTCTACCGGCAGTAAAGATAGGGCGATCACCCAGCCATCGACTTCAACTTAATTGATTTTTTAGCTAATTATTTATACATTTTAACTAAAACGCAGCCCAAAACATACCACAAGTAAGGCAAAACCTAGTAACCAAAAATGAAATTGAAACGCTCTTAGTAGAAAAAACGGCGATTTCGAAGAGAGCGGCAGACACATCGCTCCCCTGATTCACGGCTGCCAATTAAAAACAGCGGTAAGAAGATTTAACAAAGCGCTTGAGCGAGCAGTAGATCATTATATTCAAAAATATGTAAGAAAGCATTCACCAAACTCTACCCAGAAATATTCACTCTGGAACGCACAGAAAAATTTCAAGCCTCCAGTGGAGTCAGATATACGAATAAGAAGTTCTTCTGGTTTATAGGCGCGCACTAATAAGGAAAATGCAAACTGTTCCGCAAAATGCTTAGAGAACGTGTTCCTACTAAACAGTGCTTCAAATAACTATTAATTGCTACATTTTATCAACGATGCACTATATCGCAGATACCTCCTACGGCATATTCTTCTGAAATAAAAACATAAATATCTGATATTTTTAACAACATTTTGAAACCAGGTTACTCTCTGAAATCATGGGAGAGGTCGCAAATTACCAGGATAGCTAAACGAGAAAAAGGCACAACCTAGCCCCCTTTGTACGGACCTATCTTTCCAAATTATTTAAAAAAATACTACTATCAAATATATCTCCCTCTCTGTTACACTAATTCTGTTATACTAACTCTCTTATACTAATTTGATAAAGAGTGGCCTGAAGGATTACTTTGAGAAGTCAGAAAATCAATCGGAATGAAAATATACATAAGGATCTTGAAATACCAATGATCAAAACAAAATTTTAAAATTGCCTAAATACATTGGTAAATGCATTGTGTAATTCAACAAACCAGTAACGCCTGCGAAAAAGAGATGTGCCTGCCTTTTGAAGAGCGTCGTTGAAAGGAAAGTGCTCAACACTTAACTAGTTTAAAATTTAGTTACTTACTTATTGTTAGGCCTAAGTCCTAAGCAGATTCCGTAAATAAATAAATTGTTGTCCAAAAAAAAATTATTATATTATTAAATAGTCCACAACATCTATAATTACATTAAAGAAAATAAAATAATTTATTGATGTATGTAAATAAAAAAATTGCATATAAATTTTGGTGGTCATTTGATTCGAACCAACGA